ACAAGGATTTGTTGTTGTTGTTGACAACAAATCCTTGTTTGTTGTCAACAACAACAACAACAACAACAACAACAAATCCTTGTTTGTTTTTCTGTTTTACGCTTTAAAGCTGCGTCAGTCTGAATATGAATAAAAATACACTTTATGTCTCTAAAACAATCTGACGCTCACTCCAGAACCCTGAGAGAGCAACTAATTTAAAGTGGACCAGAACCAGAACCCACAGGCTACAGATGTTCACAGGATCTCCAGTTTGACCCAGACCTGGTCATAAAACCATGAACTGATCGAAAACAACGTTCCTCAAATAAAAAATGATTTTCAGGTTCTAAATGCCAAGAACACTCAGTGTTGGGCATGGAGGTGGGAGCATCATGCCCTGGGGCAGACTGGCAGCACAAAGACAATCCAAAACCCCAGTTCTGAGAAGGTTTGGACTTGGATCAGGGTTCTGAGAAGGTCTGAACTTGGATCAGGGTTCTGGGTCAGACCATATTCTGCTCACATTCCAAAGACTGAGGAAGAAGAGGGAACAGGGTCTGGACTGAGGAAGGACATGGGACGACTTCTGGACTGGCCTGTCTCCAGTCCTGATCTGTCCCCAGCAGAGACCAAATGTCTTGAGGACAACCCTGGACTGTTGGACATCCTGAGAGGTGTTTCGAAGGAAAAGACCTGAAACTCTTCATCACTTGGCCTCCTCCTCCTCAGAGCGTCTGTGTTGGGAGGAGGAAACGAGACGTTATACAAAGTGGGAAGAACTGGACCAGGAACCGGTTTTCCTGGAATGTGCTGCAGCCTGAAGGAACAAAAACGACTCGTGCTGCCTGACAAGAAGTCAAAGTGAAAGAATGAAGACACGTCTCGTCTTCAAGGACAGAACCAGCCCGGTGGAGGCAGCTCGGACCAGGTGTTCTGGACCCAGGCTGGTCTCTCACTCACCTGTGGGTTGTCCATGAACCACAGCAGGTTGCCCAGCTCTGTGTCCAGGATGAAGTACCGGCGCAGGAACTTGCCGCTGTTCTCGTTCTCGATGTCCAGGAAGCCGCAGATGCGATTCTGTCGGTCCACGTACGGCATCGTGGCCCTGGCTAGCTCAGCAGGCCCTGGGGCCTCACAGGAAGTCTGCAGAGACGGAGGAACACTGTTCAAGGACAGGTGTGTCTCTGCAGAGACAGGTTTTTATCACACTATAGATCTGAGGTGGAGTTAACAGTGAGGTGGACTCTCCTGCTCACAGTCCCATCTGAGGGAGCTGTCAGGTCACGTCTGGATCTGAACAGCCAACATCTTCAAAACGTTGTCATAAACATCATACACATAACTGAAAACCAAACATGTCCATGAAGACCCTGTCTAAACCTTACTGGAATGGACATTGATGGGTGCTAGGTGAGATTTGTGGCTGCCATCTTGTCCAGTGCTACATTTATCACTTCCGTTTGTATAGAAGCCATGTGATTCCTGTATTCTGTCATCAATCCATATAAATAGCCTTATTTTACTTAAATAAGCATTTGCATTATATGAACACAGGCAAGATGACTCTGTAAAGAGTCTCCCAACACATCCTGTTAGGCATTAGCAGGGGGCAAAACACCCACCTGGTGCACCACGATAATAACTATACCAGGTTCTGTAATCAATCCAACCAGAAATAACTCCCTTTAAATAATAAATTACTTTACATGTCTGCTTAGTGATTAATTACACTTAGACTAATACTGTTAACCAAGGTTTAAGTGGAACTAAGGACGTCATTGTAGCACCTATCAAGATGACAGCACGGAATATTGCCTCGTTAGCATAGACTGCTCTGCGGTGTGCTGTTCCAGTGTATCTTTAGTTCAGTGCAACACGACATGGTTGCACTACGGACAGTTACATGGTGTTGGTGAGTCCACCTTGTGCACGGCAGGGCATTACCGCAGGGCTCTACCGCAGGGCTCTAATGCAGGGCGTTACCGCAGGTGGGCGTTACCGCAGGTGGGCGTTACCGCAGG